TGGTTTTATTAAAAAAAAAAAAAAAGAGGGCTCAACGTAGAAAAGCTAAATGATCCAAAATTCTCAAAGAACATATCATTACTTACAGATAATCATAGAGAGTACTTGGAAAAATAGTCTTGCAGGAATTTCTCCACTCACATATGTATTATTTTAGGAATGAGATTACACCATGCTGGCTCACTCATTACTTCCATTTGCATTCAATAATTTATCACTATAAAAATGTAGTATTAGAGACCAAAGAATATGCACACAAATATTTTACTTGAGCTGGCCCCAGGGGAAGATATTTAAGTTGTTTCCAGTTTTCTAATATTACAGTAATGCTGCTGAGTGTGTCCTTTTGTACTTATGCAATTATTACTTTGGGAAAATTCCTACGAACCGGATTGTTGAGTCAGTGGTAGCAATGTTCTTCCCTTTGATTTATATAGGTGAATTCCTCCCCCAAATATTTAATTTGTATATTCTCAATAATATCAAGCTTTATCAAAGCTTGTAACACTTACAAATTAATTTTTATTTCCATTCTGGGGAAAGGTAGCTGATGCTAGTTTTTAAATAACAGGAATAAGGATACATGCTAAAGAAAAGGACTGGGAGCTCGTTTGAGGAATAGTGGCAGGACCATTGGTAAGAAGCTACCCAAATCTCTGCTGAAATTTTAGGAAATACAAACAGGACGGGTTCCTGATCAGCAGCCTTTCCTGCGGCAGTGTGGTGCTTAGTCTGCTTTGTCTTGCTAGCATGCTCACCCACTCTCCCTAAGACCCATCTCAGGCCTTCCGCCCCCAGTGCACCCCTCCTTCTCCCGTTACTTCACTGAATGGATTTTTTAAACGCCTTCTTGAGATAAAACAGAGGCCATGGGAAATGAACAAATTTACAGCAGCAAAGAATAGTAAGTTTTCAAATAGTCTTTTTTAAAAGACTATTTTTATTTATTTATTTATTTGAAAGTCAGAATTAAACAGAGAGAGAAGGAGAGGCAGAGAGAGAGAGAGAGAGAGAGAGAGATCTTCCATCCACTGGTTCACTTCCCAACTGGCTGCAACGGCCGGCCCTGTGTCGATCTGAAGTCAGGAGCCAGAAGCTTCTTCCAGGTCTCCCACATGGGTGCAGGGGCCCAAGGACTTGGGCCATCTTCTACTGCTTCCCAGGCCATAGCAGAGAGCTGGATCAGAAGAGGAGCAGCTGGGTCTCAAACCAGCGCCCATATGGGATGCCAGCACTACAGGCCGCAGCTTAACCTGCTATGACACAGTGCCCACCCCAAATTTTTAAATATTCTATGTGTTCTGATGGTGTTGCATAAACACGGTGGACCTTGTGAGAGGGCATGGATCTAATGGGAACGATTTGAAGACCCACCCAAGTGTCATGCTTGCCCTTAGTTTCCAGCAGGCACCCCTGTCCCGTCGTGCTTGCCAGGAGCTACTCTGCTTCTCTGACCATGGAGCCAGTTGATGGTGTTTGGAGATAGCTGCTGCTGGCATCTAGTGTGCAGAAGGCGGCGAGGCTGTTTAACACACTGCAACATGCAGCTCAGGCACTAGTAACTGTCGTTTGACCCCAAATGTCAACAGTGCTGTGCTTGGGAAACCGCCTCCACCCATGGTGCCATGTTTGCAAGACTGGGCTCCAAAATCAAATGCAGAGTTTGAATGCGGGCTCCACCACTTAGAAACAGCAGGTGAGGCTTGACCAAATGAAGCTCGGATCTCAACAAAGCCTGACTCTGGAGTACATGGTCTCTCTCAGCTTTGGAAGTTCCCTCTGTATGCTAGTGACACTGTAATTAGAAAATAATACTTGTAAAGTAAGTACAAGGGAATATCATTGTGTTCTTAGAATTCGTGTGTCTACAAGCTATATTGAATCTATTAAAAAGTACAAATTTTAAAAAGTAAAATCTATTGAAAAATTTTAAAGTCAGGTTATGCATGTCGATGCATGCTGGGAAATACTTCTAACAAGAAGCTGGGAATGGGTTTGTCTCACAGGCAAGATGCAGCAACACGAGGAAAAAGATTGAAGCAGATGCAAAACAGCCCACTTGAACATCAGTGCAGAACTAGTAGGTGCACATCTCCTGCGGTTTATTCACCTCCTGACAATAGCCAAAGCCAGTGGACAATCAGTCGAGCGTCTCCACATGCATGTTGTCATGTTACCTCCAGCCACTGGTGACTGTGCCTGAAGGGTCCCATGCAGTGAAAAAGTAGGAAGGTCTGCTGTTGACCGGAGTGTCCCGGCTGGATGAGCAGCAGAGTGGGACCTCATTGCCTCTCTCCCTACCAGGGGTGGAGAATCTTCCCTCTGCCAAGGGTCATTTGGATATTGACAACAGCATCCACTGCCATGCCCATGGGCCAGTCATTCTCCTCCCTTTATCACCACCCAGGGATTAGACTGACTCTCCTGCAAAGGCAGGTGTGAAAACTGTCACCAGAGTCTTCCAGGACGCTCGCTCTGTTGTTGTTTCCTCTCATCCTCCGATCTGTGGTTAGAACAGTACCTTGGTTTTCTCATACTGACAACTGCTCTTTGGCTGTGTTCAGTCTGTGTATCCTTCTCATTAAACAGCTCTTAAATTAAGTTTAGTTTCTTCATTTTGACTCTCATGTTTCCTTTTAGAAGATCTTTAATATATGAAGCTATATACATACCCATGCTGGCTTAAAGTGCATGTCACTGTCTCATATTCCTGTGAAGGCATTCCTTCATGTTTTAGCCTGTGTCCACGTGTGTGTGTGTGTGTGTTGCATACGTCCGATACTGTTTGCTCTTGTCTTCTTCCTTATTTCAGTAGCTCCCTGTCCTCACAGTGTTTTCACTTCTTATATTCTCTTTTGCCAACCTTCAATTTCCAGAGAGTAGCACAGGATATTTTTTTTGAGAAAATATTAATCAGATCATGCCATCCAAGTTCCTTAATCTTTTTTTTAAGGATTTATTTTATTTGAAAGGCAGAGTTCTAGATAAAGAGAGTGAGGTCTTCCATTTGTTGGTTCACTCTCCAAATGGCCACAACATCCAGGGCCTGGTCAGGCCAAATTCAGGAGCCGGGAGCTTCTTCTGGGTCTCCCATATGGGTGACAGGGGCCCAAGAACTGGGTCCATCTTCCACTGCTTTTCCAGGCACATTAACCTGGAGCCGGATGGGAAGAGGAACACCCAACACTCCAACAGGGGCTCCGATGAAATGCTGGAATCACAGGTGGCAAGCTAACAGACTGTGTCACAACACCTGCCCCTACAGCAGGTATTTCAGTGGGCTCTTGCTACACCTGGGGCAACAGCTCCCTCTTTGCCCAAGGTTGATCGCAATGGTCTGGCCTTTTCCCTCTCTGGGATCCCAGCCACAGGGAATTTTCTTCACCATTTCAGACTCCACCCCCAAGACATCCTTCTCTAATCCTCCTCCCTCTTAGCCTGACTACTGCCTGTCATTCCCTCCTCTCAGGTGGGGATGGCCGTACTTCAGAGGAAGTTTTCTTGTTTCTTGATGTGACATTATCCTTCCAATAACACTGTTTCCCCCACTAATAACTCACAGCAAACGGGAAAAGTCCTCCTAGGTATTTGGTGATGAATGTCAATGCCTCATCTCCTTGCAGCCAATTCTATCAGGGTGGGACTTTCTTGGCCGACGTTGGCCAGTTCGTGGGACTGCTTTACCAAAAGGTCCTGCCTCAGACCCTGTTTCTTCCTATGGAGAAATCTGTGAGAAACCTGTGAATAGAGAAACGTCACATGGACTATTCCACCCCAGGGAGGAGCTGCGGGGTTCATTCGGTCTCCCTGTAGTTGAACCTCTGACTCCCTTCCTGTCCAGAGCTCACAGCACGCCGTTTTTACATTGTGTGAAGTAGGACTGCTTGTGTTTGGCTGCCAAACCCAATAAAATTAAAAAGGAAGAGTTCACTTCTGCTCTTTGTCATCTTTAGGTGAGGGGTCATTTCAGGAAACCCTGTTGTGACTGCACAAGACACTGCACCTTTTGTCTGCAGGAGGTAGCACAACACGGGCAACTGGCAGGCAGAGAGTCCCCAGGCACCAGCACTTATTGCCGTCTTGGGGTTGTGCACTTAGCAGGAGAGAGGAGTCTGTCTATTCTTAACTTGGCCTTTCTGCAGATCTCATCAGCAGAGGCACCAATTAGCGCTCATTAGAAAGGTGTTTGGGTCTTTAATTTATTTCATTTTCCTGATGTGGATTCCAGGCCTGGAAAGCGTAGGCTGTGTTTCTGGAAGGACACATTGCTGGGGCGACGGCTGCTTTCCAGACGCTGCACAGAGCGCTTCTGTGGGCCTTGATGAGGGCTGAACCAGGCAGACCCTCTCCAGAAAGCAGGGTGGCCAGCAGGCAGGACCTGGTGCATTTGGGCTGTGCAGGTCACCCAACCAGAGACCATTGTCACCTCACATGGACTTCAGGCTGTGCGGCAGCCCCTGGTAAGAACAGTTGGCGATGCTTTGTAGAGACAGGAAGCTCACAAGTTGTTAAAGTACTTTCCCGTGCTGGCACTGAAGGGTGGGGTTGTCTGAGCAGCTTCCTGAGTGAGGTCCCATCTGCCTCGTGGGTCTGGAGGGAAAGTAGGTGAGAAGCACTGTTCTGGAACAACGAGCATTTGTACTTTCTTAATGCATGTCTGCTTCCCGACGTCTTCCATGCAGTCTTTCAGAAATAAATCCCACTTTTTCTTGTGTAGTTTCTGATGGGCCTGAAATAGCACTATGTGGCTACCAATTAAAAACAAGCAGCATCAAACAGCACAAGATTTGGAAGCAGAAGGCATGGTTCAGTCCAAGCTATACACTATCCTTGGACTAGTGTCAACTGTCAGTACAACCATGGTCTATGACACTGCTGAGAGCTTTCCCTACAAACATAGCCAAATGAAGCCAGCAGGATTCTGATACCAAAACCAAAGCAGTACAAAACAGAAAAACACAGATCCATATGAATATAGGTGCAAGAATCCCTAACAAAATGTTAGCAAATCTAAGAATTCCTGAGAGACGCACTGTTGAGTTACCCTGAAGTACAGATGACTGATGGCTAAGGATGCCGTCAGAGACTGATAGGAAAAGCCCCACGCATTTTGCAGCGAGGCCTGGGGGTGTGGCTGGGAGAGGGAGTGAGGAACCAGGCATAAGGAAACAGTATCAGAAGAGAGAACCTAGCCACCTAATGTAGAGCGGCAGCGTGTGACTTTGCCTTTCTATGTCCTTAAAGTCAATTATTTAATCATACAGTTTGGAATGATTATCTCTATATGAATTATGACATTTCTTCACTCACATATTCATACACTCGCAAGTTCTACTAAACCTTCTATATCCACAGGAGTATGGTAGATCATCCAGAAGATACTGCAATGAGTAAAAGAATTTCTGCTTCAATGATCCTGTTGCCTAAAACCAGGCAGAACAGAGAAATTAGACAAATAAGTGTAATGCAGGCTACTAAGCGAGAGGAGTATCCCTGGCCTTATGGATTTCAGAGGAGGGAGCTTTCAAGCTACGCCGTGAAGTGGGAACTGGTTTGGGTACTTGAAGACAGAGAGGGGGCATTCTAGGAAGAGGAACGGGGGGCCTCAGAGTTGTGAAGGTGTCCTGGCTTCCAGACTTGGATCCAATGGTACAGTAGCTCTGTTCTCAGTGAGTCTACTCAAGAGGTTTGAGAAAACTTGCCACCCTGCCTCTTTCTCCTCTTTTCCTTCTCCAGGAGGAGCCTGGATGGACTGAGGGCAGCTCGCTAGGCCAGGGGCACAAGAGACCAAGACTGCCGCCCCTGCTCTCCTCGCTCTTGGGAGGGGTACCTTCAGTACAGGTGTTTTCACTTCAGAGACTCACTGGCCACAATACACTCAGCACTTGGAAGGTAACAAATTTGCTATGTCACAATTGATAATCAACTCTAGTAAAAGAATGTCCAAATCAATTGAGCTTTAGCAAGGGCAAACTGGCTGGACGCAGGCAGGCTCCCAGCTCGAGCTGGCTGGGCTTGATAAATTTGCCCTTATTATGGCTATTGATGTTTAAATTTCTTCAGGGATGTTGTTACATGGGTGCCTGGTGGTGACAGAGGTACGGTGACCTCCTTCGATCCTTAATCTACACCTGTTAGTTGGCTCCCTGGTTGCCTCTGAGTAGACTCAGGCTTAAAGGTTAACAAAAGAAAAACAGGCCAAGTTTACGCGACTGCAGCAGCGGATCAATGCAAGTAAATAACCTTCTCTGTCTTATTTCCCCAAGCATTATTGATCCAAGTTCTTTGTTCTTTGTCATGTTTCTGTCTTCTTTTCCCAGGGGACACTCAACGATCAGCTCGTATTGGACATGTTAACTGGCACGTTATGACAGCTACCATTTTGTCTCACAATGTGGTGAGGTGTGTGTGTGTGTGTGTGTGTGTGTGAATGTCTTCTAAGCTACAGACTGGAAGTGAATGTCAGCCATGAACTTCTTTTGCTCTACTTTCTTTTCTTTCTTAGAAATCAGGAGAATTCTATGACCTTCTATCACATTAACGAGGTCATTTATTTGTTTTAAGTACTTATCCAAATGGACAATGGCAGCTGAAAGAAATGACAAAGCTTCTGAGGCTTGGGGCATATTCCAGGTGAGTTGTACATGATGATTTCTGTGTGATCCTCAGATCTTATTCTTCCTTAGTAATTGGATCTCTTTCTTTCATTTCTAGGGCAATTTCTAAAGGCTGTTGTCATTTGTGTTAGTTTTCTCGGGGACACTGCATGATGTCAGAGTGTTTGCTCTGGTCACTCTGAACTCCTTCGTCTCTGCAGATGGGTTCTGAAGTCCCAGTGAAATCTGTATGCAAATTGACAAGTTCTAATTTTGAACATGTCTAGCTTTTTCACAAATTCATTGTATTCTGTCCATATGCATAGGATGCATTCATGTTAACTACAAAATTGAACTCTGCACAATTCTAAAATAAAATAATGGTCTGCAAAGGCAAGGAAGCTTGTTTTGCTAAATCTCATTATAGTTTAAGGCAGATTTTGTCTAGAAAGAAAGAAAGGAGTAACTTCGTCTTTGAGTTAATAAAGCTCAGGGGATAATAAAATCATGACATCAAATTGATGTGTGGATCTTCTTAATTGGGATATGGTTCAATTCTGAAAAAAAAAATAAACTTCTTGACACAAATCTAGGATAATATGAGGTATTTTTATGCCTGATGTTCTTGGAGGAAAACTACTACTTTTATGTGAAAAACTAATTTAAATGGGAAAAATTAGAACTTAGTGTCTATAATTGTTGCCTTTACACTAAGCATGAATTATTGCAAACAAAATACAACCAGTAGCACTTATTTTACAACAGAAAAGGTAGTCTACTGACAACTGGAGAGTATCAATATTTCTTTTACAGAATACTTTAAAAATAAACAAATATTGATGCTCTAACATAGTGAAATAGTCAGTCATTATCCAGTGTCTTTAGGATCAGATGACATGAAATTTTTCTCCTTAGATTATTTGACCAAATTTTACTCATTCAGAGATATCTGTAGACTTTGACTTGTCAATCACTGGAACTCCCCATGTATATAATTAATAGCACTGAGAACCCCTTGACTCAAAATCTCCAAATTCACCGCTTCACATTTCATTTAGTCCACGGAAAAGTCACCCTTTAAGTGCTGTCTTCATGCAGTGTGAAAGCTTACTTCTATCATTTCTCTACACACAGAAACCATGCAGGCATTGCTGGTAAGCTTGGTCATCACCAAAGCTTGGAACTTGTCATCTTGTGTTTGTCCACCCTAATGAATGAATCTTCAGATCATGCCTATTCCCCATAGAGTTTTCGATTATGTGTTCAACAGATAAGGACCCTCTGCCTTTGAGACTTGTTAGCCTGCCGTTTCTGGGAGTCAGCAGGGCAGATGAGAGTTCCAGTACTACATGCTCCTGGTTCCATGTGCTGAATGGTCAGGTGCTCTTGGAAACAGCAAACCTGCTTCATTCTCAGATTCTCTCACCTAAGACCATCCCATCCTGGAGATTTGTTTTTAAGCTGTAGCATCTCTCTGTTTCATATAACCATGCACTAAAATGCTATTGAGAAATTTTGTTTTCATATACTATTCAGGAAATTACATGATACATTCTAGGGATAATTATAGAATTACTAGTCTTTATTTATTTTTTAAGTTTTCAAACCACTGGCCCTCCCACAAAGGTCAGTGTGGTTTTAAGAAAACATGGTCAAACTTTGAACACAAATAAAATGAAGTCAAATTGAAATATCCAATCTTTTGGATTCCTTCCAAATAAGCTCTTCTTTTCTATCCCCCAAGCCATCATTGCAATTTAAAGGAGACCAAAGAACAATTTTTAAACCTTTAAAAATATTGGGTTTACAGGAAGCATCTGTATGGGAATTGTTTGTCCCCTAAATGAGAATTTTGTCAATTCATGCTGTACTTTTAAAGAGCCAAGAACTTTCCAGAAATTGTATTCAAGAACACCTCTAGCATAGAGAATGAAAATAGTCATTACCAATTTTACAGTTGTCACAGGCTTCTGCTTATTAATCTCCTATTTTCAAAATATTTTTTTCTTACAGAAGGTTTCAGTGTTAAGATAAACCCTAGAAAATGTTTAGATTTAGATGTCCTCAGAGTTTATCTCAGTCCAGAAGCAAATCCCTAGTTGTGTTTGCTTGTGGCCCGTGCCACTGTAAGAAATTATGCAGGACACCCTCATTTATCCAGAGGGATAATTTTAAGACACACAGACTTTAATTTTCCTAAGGTATCACAGTACATTTTTTATTTATGTATGTATATGCATGTTAAATAAATATTTCTGAAACATTCAACACAGGTGCTTCTGGAATCTTTCTACCAGTTTTTCTATGGGAGATCAAACTAAAGAATCCATCCATAGGGACAAGATGTTCTACTCTATCCAAGTAGGGCACAAAAACTGTTTTAGCAGTGCTCTCATAAAGAGTCTACAGAATCCAGGCATTTAATTGATGAGAGCCACATAAACATGGTGCCATAATTCATCTGCGTAAGATGCCCAATAGTTAATGATTCTCATGAACATTCCCACTGAGCATGACCTTATCATGAAGAGATATCATTGCATGCCCTCCCTTTCCATAAGTCAAAGGCCACTATGAGCCAATTTACTTATTTGTTGTTTATGTCAAGCAATAGCTCCAGAATGATTTGTGAACTTCTAGAAAACAGTGACTATAACTTGATCAATTTTGTAACTCCAATACCTTGCCTAGTGTGTGTACATAGAAAGGATTTAATAAAACGATGTTGAATTAAGGGTGATACTCATGGCCAGGAGTATTTAAATGTTACAGTACGTGATTTCTTGGTAACAGTTACTACAATTTATTTGTGGAACATTAAGAGTATAATAAACCATTGGACCAGATTTAAAATTACTAGAATCACTTTCATGAGGGCTTAGGACATCTCTATGCATGACTGAGGCATAGACCAAAATTTCCTTCACTGCTTAGAGAGATTTCAGATCGGGCATGCCCAGGACCAAACACCCAATTTTGCTTCATAATGTAGTCGACCTGCTTGACTGTAGATGTAGTTTCTAGATCAGTAGATATGAGCAGGGATTGAGAGTATGCATTTCTAATAAGCTGTTTGAAGATGTCTGTGCTGATAATCCAAAGAACATCTTCTGAGTAGCAGGGATACAGAAAATGGTACAGACTTTGGACTCACAGCTCAATCTTAGCTGGCTGCATATCAGGAATGTGCTTTTGTACCATACGTAGAACTTTCCAGAATCTTAATCAGAATCTTAATTTTCACCAGTATATAATGGCAATTACACTGCTTTTCATAGTGACTTGGATTTAACATGAAATGAAATATAGCAGAGAGAGGGCCTTCATAATTCTCATCTCCTGAGGGATAAAAATGCAACTTCCTTGGTTCTTTGAAGAATTAACACATCTCTGTCTTAGACACATTTTTCTAACCTTTCTACACTTAGGTATTCACAACTATAAAATGAAAATTCTGCTCCAATTTCTTTCTGATTTACTGAGATTACAGATGGAAAGGCTTCTAACAATTTCTAGAGAAGAATATATGTTCAGTGACTATTATTATCCTTTTTCCCCTCTGTGTAAGTGTAGATAATAAAATCATTACACAGAGTGGGTATCTTGGCACGGTTGGTTAAGCAACTGCTTGGGATGCCTGCATACCACATGGGGATGCCTAATCTGAGTCCTAGCTGCTTGACTTCCAATCCAGATTCCTGCTAATGTGCACCCTGGGAGGTAGAAGTTGATGACTTAAGTACTTGGGTCCCTGCCACTAATGTAAGACCTGAACGAATTCTTGGCTCCTGGCTTTGGCCTGTTGTGGACATTTGGGGAGTGAACCAGCAGATGGCTGAAACACATAGAAAATCTATATTCACCTAAGGCCTCCTAAATGTGTGGGTATCATTTCAAAAGAAAAATAAAATTTGAGATTTTTTAAAGACTTATTTATTTATTTGAAAGACATTCTTACAGAGGCAGGGAAAGAGAGAGAGAGAGAGAGAGATCTTCCATCTGCCTGTACACTCCCCAAATGGCTGCAACAGCTGAAGCCAGGCCGATCCGAAGCTGGGAGCCAGGAAATTCTTCCAATCTTTCCCATGGGTGCAGGAGCCAAAGGACTTAGGCCACCTTCCACTGCTTTCCTAGGTTATAGCAGATAGCTGGATTAGAAGTGGAGCAGCTGGGTCTTGAACTGGAAACCATATGGAATGCCAGCACTGCAGGCGGCAGCCTTACCCGCTACACCACTGCCAGAGCCCCTCGAGATCTTTTTTTTTTTTAAAATATTCAAGTATATATACTTAGAGAAATTGCCATGTTTGTAATAAATGACATTTCTACATTGTATATCGTGTTTTATTTTCCAGCTGGGAAATGGATAATTCTAAGTAGAGTTGCAGGTGTTTGCGATACCCAAAGTCCTTTCTTATTCCTGCATGATGGTCATGTAGCTGGGTTTAACTGTTGTTCTCTGCTCAAAATTTATACTGAGCAAGCATTATCAATCAGAATAGGTAAGCTATAGCTATAGCAGTACCCATCAATCAGAAATATCCATACCAGTGGATGAAAGATACGTGTGTGTGTGTGTGTGTGTGTGTGTATGTGTTTCCCTCCGTCCTCTCTCTGTAACTTTGGCTGTCAAACAAATATCTTTTAAAAAACATAGTTTAAAGAAGACAGGTTTGATTATGTAGTTGTGCTGCATGACCATTTCAGGTCTTGTAGGACTCTTTCCTGAAGCCAAGTAGAGACACAGCCTACATGAGCAGTTGCCATCCCTAGATGGAAGCAGACTTTGGGAGCTATTACACAGGTGATTAAATGCTGTAGTGCACAAGGCTTCCACTCACACCTCCTTGATCAGAGTAGATACATGGTCATGTCTATCTGACACAATGGACATGGACTGTAACCCACATTGTTCTTGGAAGGGAAATAGCTAGAAATAGTTGGAAAAAAAAAAAACTAAAATAAACACCGTTCTTACTGTGTCAGGGACAAATCTCATGTACTCCTGTGTTTTCTGAGCCATGCCTGTCTGCAGGATTGCACTGCATGTGTGACTACTCGCTTGTTTGGGGAGTGCCAGGTCTTCATCCCTAATCTAGGCATCCAACAGGCAACAGCTGCACACCTGGTGTGTCTGGATGTTCCCACCACATCCAGCCTCATGTGAAATGCAGGATGGAGAGCTTGGCATTCTTAATGCCATGGAAGGGAAGAGAGTTCGCCACCCAGAAACGTACTTAGGAGTTAAATCCCTTATAGGTTAAATGTGGGCCAATGGCAAATAATTCTATTATCTTACAAATAAAAACATTAAAAATAATTCTAGACATTTAATTGATTAGAGCCACATAAATGTGGTGCCATAATTCATCTGCATAAGATGCCTAGTAGTTAATGATTCTCATGAACATTCCCACTAAGCATGACCTTATCATAAAGAGATAAAGAGTATAAAGAGTATCCTTTTTTTTTTTAAAAGAGATAAAGAGTATCCTTTTTTGTGGTCCCGTCTTTTGTGTGGTGCCTGCTTGCGTATGACCAACTCTAAATTTCTGATTCAACTTGCAACCAGACCAGGTCTATTTTATTCACTGGGTGACTTCCAGTGGACCCTCTCATTGTCAAATTAATATTTTTGGTGTTATTCATGTTTGACATCTTA